ATAGGAGGAAAGAATATCTGTTTAGTTGGCCAAGGTTGCAGTATGACCACCCGCAGGTTCTAACTGGCCATTATGTCCCCTCAGTAACAGTAGCATATGTCCAAGTGTTGGTTATCCCATGGGACAAGTGTGGGATGATTCTGAGGACCCATGTCTGGGTTTCAGACTGATCTTGAATGAGATTTTCTCTCTTTCCTCTATCTCAATCTCTTCCCCACTCTGACCCCCACCCTCCCTCCAGCTCATTTCTCACAACCCAGAGTTTTATGTGCTTGTCCCCTGGGGTCCTCAATTTAGAATCAAGTCCTATATTACTGTCTCAGGTTTTATGTCCAGGGTAATTGGGGAGCCACTCAGACAGTGTTGTCAAGTTTCAGAAGCTTAACTAGGTCCTGGGGAACTACTCAGAGCCTTCTTCCTGGAGTGAACTCCCCTCCCTTAACTTGGTGGACCCGTACTTGCCCTATCAGTGGAAGTATACTTGTCTCTGGAGCCAGACCATGTAGTTCAAAGATTGTCTCTGTGCTTAATCAATGGTAGACAATATTATTAGCTATTAGGTCTCAGCTAACCAGTCTCCTCCTGAAAGATGCCTCCCTGACATGAGGTCCCCATGGCCAGATTCTGACTCTCTGCATTGGTTCTTCTTAGTCTCAGACTTTGAATTATTTGCATTCAGTAAATATTTGTTGATTAAATATATTAGTCTGCTCTGGCTACCATGAAAAGTACCACAGGCTGGGCGACTTAAAGACAAACATTTATTATCTCACAGGCTGGAAGTCTGAGACCAAGGTGTGGGCACGACTGGTTCCTTCTAAGGCCTCTCTCCTTGGCATGTAGCCCTTCTTCTCTCTGGGTCCTCACATGTTCATCTCTCTGTGCATGTCTGCATTCTGATCTCTGATTCTTATAAGGATACTAATCCCAAGATCTTAGGGTTCACCTTAAAGACCTCATTTCAACTTAACCACCTCTTTAAAGACCCATCTTCAAATTCAGTTTTCATTCTGAGGTCCTGGAGCTCAGAGCTTCAACATGAATGCTGGAGGAGAACATATTTCAGCCTTTAACAATGCGTGAGAAACATACTATGGGATGGATGGCTGCCTGTTTGCTTAGATCCTTTCAAGACCAAATTCATGATTTTTATCTATCTGGAAACTGCCAGGAGAGATCCTTGCTTTCCTGTGAAAATCGAACCCTCTCATGTTATGAAGCTCAGGGCAGAGCCAGAATCTTTTTTCCACTGAACAACCCTTGTGTTGCTCATAGAATGGCAGCTTGAGAACAGTGTTTTGAAACGTGTTCCTGAAAATCTGTGAGAAACATTCTTTACCTTTACTCAGAAACATTCGTTCTTTCTTCTGCCTGCGTGGACATTAATTATTTTCATATTCAAACTGACTTGCATTTCTGTTTGGGTAGAAGCTGCATTTGGTAACACACATACCTGAGTTTGATTAGATTGTACAGTTTTAAAAGAAAGTGGGTCAGCTTGAGGGAGGCCATCTGTCAGAGTGCATTTGGCAAAAAGAAAACAGATGGGGGGGACTTATAAAAGAGGCTGAGGTTTGTAGCCCAAAGGTACCAACGGAGTTCTGTGGCTTCCAACTGCCTCCTTTTTTTCGAGTTATGTAACTGTTCGAGACAGCTGAACTGCGCTAGGTGTGGGATGCGTGTGGCCTACAAATGCCAGACATGGGACAAAAACCTTACTTTCGGTTATTGAAATGAGGACAGAACGAAAATGCTCAATGTATATAATTTTCTCAAATAAACTATTCCAGAAATATTTAGTGCTTTTCAGGAGGCAGAGTATAAGACCAAATCCTTGGGCATTTTAGCAATTAGTGTGTTTTAGTTTTGGTTTTGTTTTAGTTCATATATCCATTCACCTACTGAAACTCATCTTGGCTGCTCTGAGTTCTGGCAATTATGAATGAAGCTGCCGTAAACATCAGTGTGCAGGGTTTTGTTTGTGGACATAAGTTTTCAACTCCTTTGGGTAATCACAGATATGCTCTTAAATTACAGTTTTTGTTAAAATTTCTAACAAACATGCTATTTCACATGAATGGATTTTCTGGATAACTGACGTGTGGTGTGTTCACACACCAGAGGAGTTGTTCACATTTTCATCTTCCTTGGTAATAATTATTTGATCAATTGTTTATAAACAAAACAGTTTGTGAAAGCAATTGCTTTCACAACATAGGCTCCAAAAATTTGACCTTTTCACAATTTCTCAAGTTATCATTGTGGGTAAACTGAGTCATCCCCCATCTCCCAGCCCCTGGAACCCACCATTCCATTTTCTGTCTCTATGAGTTTGATTGTGGTAGGGACCTTATATGAGTGAGATCATACAGTATTTGCCTTTTTGTGTTTGGCTTATTTCATACAGCATAATGTCCTCAAAGTCGGTCCATGTTGTAACATATTACAGAATTTCCTTCCTCTTCAAGGCTGAATAATATTCCATTGTGTGTATTTACACCACATCTTGTTATCTATTCTTCCATTGATGGACACTTGGGCTGCTTCCACCTTTTGGTGAATATTGCTGCTATGAACATTGGGGTACAGATGTCTCTTGTAGTCTCTGCTTTCAGTTCTTTGGGGTATATAGTCAGAAGTGGGACTGCTGGTTACATAGTGGCTGAACCATTTTACAGTCCCATCAGAAGTGCACAAGGATTTCAACTTCACATCCTCTCCAACCCTTGTTATGCATTATCTTATTGATAATAGCCATCCTAATGGGTATAAGGTGGCATCTCATGGTAGTTTTGGTTTGCATTTTCCCAATGACTATTGATGCTAAGCATCTTTTCGTGTGCTTATTGGCCATTTGTATATCTTCTTTAGAGAAATGTCTGCTCAAGTCCTTTACTTTAAATCTAAATTTCAGATAAATAATACATTTTTGATAATATGTCCCAATATGAGAGATGTATATGCTAAAAAAAAAAAAAAAGCATATTGCTTATCTAAGACTCATTTTTAACTAGTTGTCTTGCATTTTTATTTGAGAAATCTGGCAACCCTAAAAAGCGAGAACTTTGATGGATCTAAAACAATCTTTAAACATCTCACATTTTGCTCAGGTGAGCTCCGAAATGGCTTAGTGTGTTTTTGTGGGTGTTGGGCTGGTAGCCTGCTTTATTAGAAAATTGTAATTTCATTTTGAGATGCTCCAGACTAAATCATTTGAGCTTCACACTCTTTGTGTAATATTATTGGGCTGCCTTAATGAAATTATAACTCAAGCAAGAGATTTCATTCCCTGGTAGTAAATTAGCTTGGGCCGTGCAGGCTCGGGGAGAGCCAGTCCTCCCTGGCTTATTCTTCTTGTTCAGGGAATGAAGAAGGAGCAGGCGTTTTGTATTTGAGTTATTTATTGTTCTCTTTGAGTGAACGTTATATTGTTACCCGTCCCTACTGGAAACAACAGCTGTTAACAGGCTTCAGAATGAATTTCAATGTGAACTCCCCTGGCCTCTGGGAAGCTTGGCTAAAGAGAAAACAGGCTCATAATGGAAAGAAAAAGAGCGGGATCCAGGCCTGGGTCTGGACGCCTCAGGCCAGCTGCATATAAAACCGCCAGTCACGGGGTCCTGGGACATCCCATTCAGACGTGTGCTGAAATGGGAGTGCTGTCAACAGTCCTTTCTGACCACAGAGGCAGACAAAGGCAGCCTGAGGCAAATAGTGACCTTGCTCAACACGCTGCCCTCATATACCAGAGGAGACAGAAAGTGTCCCGCAGGGCAAAGTAACCACACCCCTGGCACCGGGGCCCTGGATAACCTAACCACAGGGGGAACAGGGATGACTCTTTCACAACAATGTAACACAACGGCTGAGCAGTGGTGGCGTTTCCAGCTCTCATATTTTTAATAATGCGGTCAAGATGCCTATGGGATATAATGAATCATACAGACTTGGGGGGTAAGAGGACGCAAGAGGCAGGAATCTGAGAACAGCGGAGGACTCCTCTGCAAGGCCGTCGGTTCTGCTTATGGACAAGTGCTCCCACCTCCTCTGGTTAAATCTAGTCGGTGGAACCCCTAAAAGCAGGAGCTTTCCTTTGGCTCCCTTTATTAGTCATTTCTTTGTGTCTCCCAATTGTACATGCAACCTGCAATTCCTCCATCTCTCAGCTGAAGAGAGAAATTGCTGAGACCGTGGAAGGGACATCTCTCATTGATCACGGGTGGTACTTCCCACTTGGGTCCATCTTCCCGCCGGCGGTACTCAGGGGTGTCCGGTGCCCAGGATGCCTGACCAGTCTTGCTTGGCTCACCCACCACTGGGGCTGCAGGCAGAGGGCATATCCGGGGAGTCCTTCCACTGCTGCAGTGACACGGTGCCCCTCCCAGGAAAACCTCCTCCGGGCAGGGACCCCGCACTACTTCCTCCTCCACCTGCCATCTCTCCTCTCCCTTCCTCTTCCTCCCCGAAATTCAACTTCTCAAATGCACACTAAGTATATTTTACAGCTTTGAGTCCATTATTTTCATGCATGTCAAGCCCACAAAGCAAGTTCACTAATGGTGGGAAATAGTGTTGGCTTTTTTTGCACAGATGCTCTTTTCATTGTGGAATTTCTTTACTTGCTTTAGCCACTCTCTGTGAAATGACCTCAGTCTAGCAGACCCTGCCCCACCCAGCATCCTCTAAGCTCCTGCAAGGCTGTTGCCCTGGAGACGATTACTTCGAGTTTTGAGGGACATGGAACAAAAGGAGGGGAGATGCCAAAAATAAGAAAAGAAAAAAGATAGAAATCATAACGTTTAAAATTGAATGGAGAGGGGAATTTGATAAAATGCTGTCAGAAATCCAATAAAAGACTGAACCAGAATGAAGTGGCTGAAACCAAAACGACCTTTCAACCTCCCTTGTCCAAACCTTCAGTAATAAGAGCATATGAAAGCACTGAGTTTTTCTGAAACTCGATGTCAAAAGAGCATTTCTGTTCTTTTCTTCCCAGACAAAGTGAGCATGTTGTCAGCCTTCATCGCTCCCTTCAAGCACTTGAGCCCCGGGGCCACTAACACGGAGGATGACGACAATCTAAGTAAGCAACCCCATCCCTGACAAGGGGGTTCCCAGCCTGATGTCCCCAAAACTGGGATCTTGGGGTGATGTGGGGGCGGGGAGGGAGAGAGGGGTACTATCTGGGTTTCCCAGAACAGGAGGTTTTCTTCCTGTCCCCATCTGGAGTCCTACCCTCACCTGGGGGGTAGGGAAATACTAGTTGTATGATTGAGAACTCCAGGGGTTTTGTGTGTGTGTATACACTTTTTTTTTTTTAGTTATCTTAGGCCATTCTTCGTCTCTTTCCTGTGTTTTTCCTTCAAAAAAAAGAAGAAGAAAGAAAAAAGAACATAGTCTCTTTGAACACAGTTCATACAATTATTTAACATGGGAAGAGCTGGCCGGGTGCCTGCCTGTTGAAACATCTCTGGCACGTGAAACTGGAGAGACACCCGCAGTGTGGTGCGGGGACCGAAACTCTGGCTTGGGGAGTGGACCTCAGCAGTGTCCCTGCGCAGACTACTGAGGAGGCAGAGCCCAGGGACTGGGGTGGGAGGGTCTGGGTGTGACTGGCATGCATTATACTCGCCTGTGGTGTGTAGCATATTGTCAGGCATTTAAACAAGGGGGTGAACATTCAAAGCCATATGAACACCTATTACATTTCAACATTACCTAACAGAGGGGTCACCTTCTCAGCCAGAAAGAGGTGGGAGTGTGTTTGCTGTCCTGGGATGGGAATTACTGGCGGTCACTAGGATCATTGACCTAACCAAGCAGCAGCAGTGGGTGTGGGAATTGCACGGGAATGTTGTCCATTTGCCATCAGCTCTTAAAAAGCACGACACATCTGCATAAATAGCCCCTTCCCACAAACATAACTATCAACAAGACTGAAAACCGAGGTGATTGCCCTGGGTTATCCCACTGAAGCAAAGTTGAAGAATCACTGGGTGTCAAACCAGAGCAAACCCTAGAGATGCTCTAGTTTTAGTCCTTTGTTTTCTAGATAAGGAAGGTAAGGTGTGGAGGATGCAGAGAAAGTCATGTAGGAAACAGAACACAGGTGTCCTGGCTATCTGTTCAGGGCTCCTTCCTCAGCGAACACCTAGGTCACAGTGGAATGTGAACAAACAATTGTTTCTGTCTCTCATGACTGGAAAACTCCTAGAATGTAGTCAACGTATTGCTAGCAGGAGGAATAAAATCTTACTGTTTCCATGTCTTTCCCACCGAGCTGTGGAAGCCCTGGCTGTTAGCCTCTCCACGTGGAAGTAGCTCTCTCCTTCCAACGGCTCCCAGGCTAATGACTTGTGATGCCAGAACAGTTCTGAAAGCAGAAGCCCAGTGGGCACACCTCTGGTGCCATCTCCATGTCACTAGCCCTGTGCTCTATGGTCACTAGCCCTGCTATGAATATCACTGCTCAGACTCTCAGAGACTCGTTCCTAAGACAGGGACAGTGACATGGAATTGAGATCAGAATAAAATAAGATAGCACATGAAGACATTTTAGACAAGGACCTGGGACATATAAATGCTCTATCCAGGTTGGTTAGTACCAGTAATTAAGTCTATTTTTTCCTAATTCAGCTCACTGACTAGTAGGTAAAAACTTACAGATAAGAGTGAATTTTAGAGAGAACCAAGATGGCAGCATAAGGTATAAACTTGTACGTGCTGCCCCCCACAACAACATTAAAACTACAACTATAAGACAAAGCAGCTATCATCCAGAACCACGGGAAAGCTGACCAAGTGGAAGTTCTACAACTAGAAGGAAAGAAAAAAGTGCATTGAGACCGGGTAGTAGGTGCAGAGGCACCAAGAACAGAGGTACAAAGGCACGTGCAAGGCAGCTGCACCTGGGTGCGCGGTTTTTTTTCAATTGGAAGGGGATACAAGCTCTCAAATGCACTGAACTCATTTACGGGGAAACTCTGGGGTCCCAGACTCCTACGGGGAGAAACTGGACTGTCTTGCAGAGGGTCAGAAAGCTAGGGTGGCTTTCTCACAGAGCTGCTCATAGGGATCATTGTTGCTGTGGGGGCACGGGACTTGGGGATGCAGAGGGACTAGGGACGCAGAGACGCGGAGTCGCGGGAAACTCTCAGAATCGGGGAGAGGCTGATGACAACCACTGTTGTTTTCTCCGCCCTGGTGATTCTCTGAGACCCCGCCCCACTCAATTTACATCCCCACCCAAGCAAGGCAAAGGAGCCGCCTGCCCTTTTGCAGCCTAACTTAACAAACTGCAGCTGGGTCAGAGAGCTCCAAAACTTCCAAACCCCAAACAAAGAGAAGAAATCTGCTGATATCGCTGTAGCTCCTGCTGGGTGGACTCACACAGTGGTTGACTTGGAGATCCAGGAGCCAGGGTACCCCTGGTCCGATACCAGATTTCAACTCCTCACATCCATAAGGGACACACTCAAGAAGCAGACTCAGTGAGCACCAAAGCCCCACTGAAGCAAGTCTTACCCCATAAGGGTGTCTCCAGCACAGAAGTTCTTCCACTGTAGACACAGTGGGTCATCACAGTCAGCCAAAAATGCAGAGACAAAGAAACATGTCACAAATGAAAGAAATGGAGGAAAGCAAACTAATGGAGGACATAGAGTTCAAAACCACAGTTATAAGGCTACTCAAGAATCTTCTACGAATCTCTGAGGAACTCAGTGAGGCCTTCAAGGATCTTAATGAGAATGTCAAAAAAATGGAAAAGGACCAGTCAGAAATTAAACATACACTGACTGAAATTAAAAATAATATACAGAGATCCAACAGCAGACTAGAGGATCCCAAGAATCAAGTCAAAGATTTGAAATACTAAGAAGCAAAAAACACCCATCTGGAAAAGCAAAAAGAAAAAAGAATCCAAAAATATGAAGATAGTGTAAGGAGCCTCTGGGACAACTTCAAACGTACCAACATCCAAATTATAGGGGTGCCAGAAGGAGAGAGAGCAAGATACTAAAAGCCTCTTAGAAGAAATCATGACAGAAAACTTCCCCTACCTGATGAAAGAAATAGACTTACAAGTCCAGGAAGCGGAGAGAACCCCAAACAAAAGGAATCCAAAGAGGACCACACCAAGACACGTCATAATTAAAATGCCAAGGGCTAAAGACAAAGAGAGAATGTTACAAGCAGCAAGAGAAAAACAGTTACCTACAAGGGTGTACCCATATGACTGTCAGCTGATTTCTCAACAGAAACCATGCAGCCCAGAAGGGAGTGGCAAGAAATATTCAAAGTGATGAATAGCAAGAACCTACAACCAAGATTATTCTACCCAGCAAAGCTATCATGTAGAATTGAAGGTCAGATAAAGAGCATCACAGACAAGAAAAAGCTAAAGGAGCTCATCACCACCAAACCAGGATTATATGAAATGCTGAAGGATATTCTTTAAGAAGAGGAAGAAGAAGAAAAAGGTAAAGATAAAAATTATGAACAACAAAGTGACAACAAATAAATATCTATCAACAAGTGAACCTAAAAATTAAGTCAGAATAAACTCGTGAATATAATAGAAGCAGGGGCATAGAAAGGGAGTGGACTGACAATTCTTGGGGGGAAGGAGGTGTGGGGGGTGCGGGAAGAGACTGGACAAAAATTTTACACCTATGAATGAGGACAGTGGCAGGGGGTAAGGGCATGGGGTGGGGTGGGAACCAGGTGGAGGGGAGCTATGGGGGGGAAAAGAGGAACATCTGTAATAATCTGAACAATAAAGATTTATTAATTTTTTAAAAAGTGAATTTTATTTATTACATGTTAAAATGCCTTTGAAATGCTTGGAAAGTCTTATTTTCTATCAGTGGATTAGTCATCCCCTTTGTAATATGTGCTGTTAATATACTTAGAAAACCCTATTTTCATACACTGTTCAAAGATACACCTCCAAATGAATGTGTTTGTCTTACTCAACATTTCTCGCTACTATTACCCATGCAGCTCCTCAACTTACTGCCCAAATGCCACTGGGTGGTGAAAGAGAAAGAGTGCACCTCCCCTAAAGAGTGTGTGTATGTGTGTGTATGTGTGTGTGTGTGTGTGTGTAAAGTATGTGCGGTGTGCATGGTGTATTGTGATGTGTATGTGGTGTATGTTCTGTGTTTTGTGTGTGTGATTTGCACATGGTATATAATAAATGTGATGTGTACGGTGTGTGTGTTCATAGGTATGCTGTATGTGCAAAGTTTGTATAGTGTGTGTGGTATGTATGTGTGTCTGTGTGTGTTGTATATAATGTGGGTGCAAAGTGCGTGTGCATGTAGTATGCATGGTGTATGTAATGTGTGTCTATATGTATGTTGTGTGTGGTGTATGTGGTGTGTGTGATGTATGTGTAGTATGGTGTGTATAATGGATGTTCACTGTGTGTGCATGTGTGTACACACACATATGCAGGGAGGAAAGGTGGGTGGTAGAGGCAAGTGTGTCCTTGCTTTGAAGTCTCTTGTTTGTATCTACAAACTAGGTAACGGGTGTGTCTGGGTTGATTTAGGATGAAGTTCCACGATTGAGGACCATTTCCCTCCCGTGGCTCCGGCGCTCACCTCTGCTCCTTCCCTCAGGCTGAGCTCCAACGTCCAGGGCTGAGCGGGGGTCGGGGATCCATAGCCAGACAGAGACTCGGCCTGAGAGGGGCCAGTGCTGGTGAGCCCACCTGGCAGCCAGCCATCAGCAGGCTGGGTTCTGGCTCACAGTCAGCCAGATAATGCCATGTTTCAGCCCACGCCTATGCTGGGAACCCTGAAAGCTTTCTACTTTGGACACTGAGGAGAGTGGTTGCTGGCCCTGCCCCATCGCCTCTGCCCCTAACACCGACCAGAGGTGTCACCTGAGGAGGGTTGAGATGCGGATCCGGGCAGGGCCACAGGCCTGCACAGTCCATGCCCTTTGCATGGGTCTGAGGGAGGGCAACCCCGCCACCATGAGATGCCGGCAGCTCAGCTTCCAGGCAGCAGGACAGGTCTTGGAAGGAGGCCGTGCTGTCCTACTGCAGAGCCTGATCCGAGAGCATCAGTGACTGGCCAGTGTATGACCACACAGCCGGAACCTTGCAATCCATATTGCGAGTCACCAGGCCCGCCGAACTGGGCGCCACAGCCTCCCCGCTTTCTTTTTTCTTTCTTTTTGTTTATATTTTATTGATTTTTTACAGAGAGGAAGGGAGAGAGATAGAGAGCTAGAAACATCGATGGGAGAGAAACATCAATCAGCTGCCTCCTGCACATCTTCCACTGGGGATATGCCTGCAACCCAGGTACATGCCCTTGACCGGAATCGAACCTGGGACCTTTCAGTCCGCAGGCCGATGCTCTATCCACTGAGCCAAACTGGTTTCGGCCCTCCCCGATTTCTTACCCTGAAGCACAAAGACCTTCTTCCTGCACAAATGGAGAGAAGGCCCCCATTGCTCCTGTCACTGCCTGGTCTGGGTAGGATGGGTGGAGCGGACGTTGCCCTCTGACCTGCAGACACAGTAGTGTCATTATTAGTGAGGCAGCATGAAGAAAAGTTCCCAACAACTCAACTACTGCAAACACCAGCTGCATTTTGACCAGACAGGGACGTGGTGGAGGCAGATGCTGGCACCTCACAAGGGCGCCTGCATTCCGAGCGGTGATAACACAGCGAGACGGCAGCCGGGACCTCGCCCCAGCAAATGCAGCCCAGTCATTGAACTTCGTTCTGAAAGATGTATTTCACCTGGAAAACAAATGTTTAACCACAGCCATGATATATAAAATTCTACCCTTTCTCCCCAAAACGCCCATTAGTCACTTATCAGATAGGTTATCAGAGAGAAAGAGAGAGACACATCCACCTAATGTTCATTACAGTATAATTGTTATAATTGTTCTCTTATTGTTATTGTTAATCTCTTACTGTGCCTCATTTGTAAATTAAACTTTGTCATAGGTAGGTATGTATAGGAAAGAATATGGTATATATATAGGGTTTGTGCTATCTGAGATTTCAGGTAGCCACTGAGGGTCTTGGAATGTACCCCCCACCAATAAGGGGGAACGACACTGTTTTCTGATGTGTCAGGGTTTTTCCTGAGCCTATTATACGTGTTCCTTCAGTTCAACTTCATAATAATCCTGTAAGTCAAGCGTTATTAAAACCCACATGTTCCATCTTAAGAAAATGGAGTGTGGGTAGTTTGAGAGACTTGTCCAAGGTCACACCTACAGGAAGGATGGAGAGGGCTTTCCCTAGAGCCAGTGGAGTGGCCCCAGCCCCCCTCTGCCTGGTTCAGGCTCAGCACCCCAGCGGAAACCAGCATGTGGGCTGTGCTGGAGGGAGCTGGGCCCCCAATCTGCTCACTTGCAAAACCCAGCGGGTAACATCGCTCCAGAGATTGTAGCTAGTGGATCCAGGAGAAGGCCAGAGCTCTGCCTTGTTATCAGTTATTAGATATTGATCAATTTGGAAGGATGCTTCCTGCCACCGTCTGATCATCATGTCTAGGCCGTTGAAAACTAATAATGACCATCGTCATCGGATACTGAGTGCATGGGAGAGAAGAGCCCAGAAGCAATCTTGGTGAGGGGAGGGGAAGTCCCCACCGGGAGGGCTGTTGCTCCAAGATAAACCTTTCTACTTGAAAAGGCAGCCGAGGTCATCTGATACGCCGGCCACCTTCATCACAGGCACGGCTCCCTCCATCCCCACATCGTGAGAAATCAATAAGAAATCAGAGCACCCAGTAAGTTTCAGGCAATCTGTTGTGCAGCTTTTTGGCCGGGTTATTTTTTTTTTCCATCGTTATGTCCAATCTGGGAAGCTGTGTGGTTAATCCGACCCACTGCCCTGGGCCTGAGACACCCACATGGCGGAGCTCCTGGCAGCGGGACCCAGGTGCGTAATGACGCAGAGAGGGACTGAGTGGGCGCTCGATACCTGCAGGTAATTATTCATACAAAATAGTCTGAGCGATGCCATCCACCTCTAACTTATAAAAGGCTCGGGTTTACTTCTTTGGACAGAATTAGCTCTACAGACCTAACATCCTATAGACACAAACCACCAGGGGACATATAACAGAGCCGCCTCGCAACTTAGAGAACAGAGCCAATACGCAGCTGACGGATCTGCAAACAGCCCTGACTCTCGCCACAGCCCTGACTCTCACCACCGCCTGGGGACTGCCAGGGCTGGTGGCCAAGGTGTTACCAAGAGCCCCCCGAGCTGGGAGGACGCACAACCCGGGACCCAGAGAGGAGCCTTGCCCAGTGTGAGACACCGCCCAGAGGCACCCATTGGTACTTTCCCATTATTCTCCACTGCAGAGCCATGAGGATGAGGGTCTCCCCAGCTTGGGCCAGGCTGAGGGGAAAGTGCTCAGCGTCCATTTATAAGCTGCAGGCTGGCTGTAAAAATCACCCCAAATTCCCACTTGCTTCACAAGAGAAAACTCATTGCCAACCTGCTGCCCAGCCACCTGGAGCCCCTGAGATCCTGGTTCCCACGGAGAAATTGAAGGGCTCAGAGGTGCGTCTGCCTGGGGTCCCGGCTCTGCGTGGAGTCCCGGCCCTGCCTCCTTGCCTCACACATCCGCCCTCTCCAATGGCAGGCTATGCACTCTCAGCACCTCATCCCCTCCCAGAGGCGGGCGTCCCTGTGAAATGGCGAAGGAATGTGGCACTGTCGGTGCCCATACATCCACCTTCAGAACAACACATTCCCAGGGTGAAATGCTTCTCGGCCAGGTATCCACCTGGTCTGCCTCCCTGAGCCTGGGTTTCCCCTCCGAGAAAATGCTGCTGTGACACCCACCACCGCAGAGAGGTGAGGAATAAGAAAGGTGCCGGAGTGGAGGCGCTCTGGGCTCGGTGACAGGGACCTGCACGGTGGGACCGTCACCCCGGAGCGTTTTATAGGACACTGGGTCAGCATTCCAAAAGCATCTTCGCCAGGGACTCTGGTCCTGCGTTCTGTGACAATCCAAGCTGAGGTTTTCTAAACAGAACAGTTTCCCTTGCCAAGAGTGACCCAAGGGAGCCGAGAGCCTGTCCAGAAAAGCTAAATCCCTGCACACATCCACCACGTGTAGTTTGCAAGGGATGACTTTGCTAAATTTAATGCCTTCCTCTTTTTTTTGCAAAAGATTAAAACATCACAGATACAAATGAAGCCTCCACCTGGGTCCGCATTAGTTCCCTCCTTTTCTCCCAGGAAGGTTAGCATCTAAGCTTCACCATTGTGACTGATCCCACAAACCGCATGCAGTGCCTGTGTGGTTATAATTTATATTAACGGCATCGCACTCTGTGTATTACTTTCCAAGTTGCTTTTATGATGCAAATTATGCTTCTGAGCTTCCTCTATGATGAAGCAGGTAAACCTGGCTCATCAACCGTGAGTGCTATCAAGCGTTCCATCCTATGATCGCGCCACAACTCAGTTACCAGTCCCCACACAGGGCAGGCCCGTGTGGCTCTCAGCGCTGGCAGCAGCGGCTAGAAAGGGCCACCTGTGATTTGGTTTGGGGGAGGCCTTAGGAGAGGGGAGCAGAGGGCCTACGACAGACATCTCAGCCACACTCAGAGTAGCAGATGGGCGCCCCTGTGAGCAGGTCAGGCTCACCACATCCACACGCCACATTCTCAGAAATGCAGGAACTGCTCAGGGCTGGGTGTCCTCCCTCCTCCTGAGCAGTCGGCCCCACGTTCAGGGAAGCTTAGTAACTCCTGTCAGCCTAGAAAGGAAGTGGCTGGGCTCCTGTGCACAGCGCAGTCTGCAGAGGTGTCTGTCTCCAGGTGCGCTGAGACCCCTGGTCACCGCTGTCTGTTCTCACCTCCAGGTACCAGCAGCGCAGACGTGAAGGAGAACCGAAATGTGAGCAACCTGGAGGCACGGCCACTGCCCGCGGGCGACAGAGCCCGAGGCGGTGCGCCTGGCGTGAAGAGGAAAAGGCCCCTGGAGGAGGGCAACAGCGGCCACTTCTGCAAACTGCAGCTGATCTGGAAGACGCTCTCGTGGTCGATGACGCCCAAGAACGCGCTGGTGCAGCTGCACGAGCTGCGGCCCGGCCTGCAGTACCGGATGGTGTCCCAGACCGGCCCGGTGCACGCGCCCGTCTTCGCTGTGGCGGTGGAAGTGAATGGGCTCACGTTCGAGGGCACGGGGCCCACCAAGAAGAAGGCCAAGATGCGGGCAGCCGAGCTGGCCCTGCGCTCCTTCGTGCAGTTCCCCAACGCCTGCCAGGCCCACCTGGCCATGGGCAGCAGTCCCAGCCCCTGCACGGACTTCACCTCCGACCAGGCCGACTTCCCCGACACGCTCTTCAAACAGTTCGAGCCGTCGGCACCCAGTGCAGCCTTCCCGGGCCACCGCCCCGCCGAGCCCGAGCTGCTGTCCCCCGTCTGCCGGCGGGGACGGCTGCTGCGCAGCACGCTGGACCTGGTGGCCCCGGGCGAGGGGAACCCGGTGGTGGTGCTGAACCAGCTGCGCGCCGGCCTGCGCTACGTGTGCCTCTCGGAGCCGGCCGACAGGCAGCGGCCGCGCAGCTTCGTCATGGCCGTGAGCGTGGACGGCAGGATGTTTGAAGGCTCGGGACGCAGCAAGAAGCTGGCCAAGGGCCAGGCGGCGCAGGCGGCCCTCCAGGCCCTCTTCGACATCCGGCTGCCCGGCCACGTGCCCAGCAGGAGTAAAAGTCACCTCCTGCCCCAGGTGAGAATTCTCAGGTAGCTCCCGGCAGGTGGCATCTCCCGGATGCTAGGAGACCATGAGCTGGGACGGGCAGCAGGCAGCCCCCGCTCCAGTCGCTGTAAGTAGAGAGCGCCCACACGCACCTCTCCCAGAACAGCCAGCTCAGCCCCGGTTCAGCCTCACCATTAGAACATTTGTCAGGCTTAAGGGGAGAGAATCGTGTGCATATAAAGAAAGAACGTCAACATTCGGACTTAGCAGAGGGGCGGGGGAAGAGTGAAGTCAGGTGTTGTCCATGGTGACACCAATGTTAGGAAACAGGGCAGGGCGACAGCAGGGCCCGTCCCCAGACGGGCTGACAGGGAAAGACAGCGGTATCGGCGGCTCTGCCGTTCAGTGACTTGGTTGCTGAGTGTTCTGCAGCAGGAGCACTAGAGGAGGTGAAATGCATGTTAGGTAGCAGTTTGGGTGGAGTGTCTCACTGGGGAGTCTGGAGAAAGGGAAGCGAATGTGATCATTGCCTCAGTCATTCCACCCAGAGGCAGGGGCCTGAGCGGCAGCCACACGGAGGGAAGGGTCAGGGAGTCCAACCCTCACCTGGGAGCAGAGGGCTCCGAACAAGGGCAGGCTGGGACCTGGTGTCAGCAACCTCCCTCCGGCCCTTTCACACCAGCGACAGGTCTGCTTTCTCACGCTGGTTCACCTTTGCTCATGCAAAGAACACTTTCGTAGCGCCGTCCATGTGTCAGGAACGAGTCTTATCCCTTGTCCTTCCAAGTCTTGTAACTGCTTATATATGCAAATTACCTTCTGTCTTAGCATTTTCAAAATTGCCGGTAGGTATCACTAATGTATTAGAGGCAGGGAAGTATCTTTATTCACTTTGGTGTCAATCACGGGGAGGAACATAGTTCAAATGCACTCAATGCAGTGCAGGTAAGTCTCCGGTAACTGTGAGGTGTTGCTACCGTGGCTGTCCGGATCACCTACCTCGCAGCCCTGGGACAGAACCTGCCGTCACCTTGGGAAGCCTCGTATCAGTGGAAGGAGGCAGGGTGCCGCCCAGACCTCAGGGAGCAGGAAGGAGCTACAGCGACCAAACCTAACGCAGAGGACACATGCCTCGAGCTGAGTCACAGTGCTCAGTAAGCACTGATGGGATGGGGGTCCTCTGCTCGCAGCTCATTGAGTGAGAGAGAGAGACCGTCCAACAAGAGCCCAATCAAGGGACGGCTGTTTCTCCTGCTATCTCTGCCCCCAACGCCGTCAGTCATTTCCACATATTTGTTGAACCTTCTCGAGAGCGGGTTGCAGGGATTTAGACCATCATTTCCATCGGTCTTGCCTTTCAGCCCACCCCCAAACAACACACAATCCACGTAGAAACAGGGTGTTGGAAAGAAGCTGGGGATCGAAGGTCCCTGAGCACCTCCTGCCAGAAGAATTCAGCCTCATTTCTCCCTCCTGGCACCTCCATTTTATGTTGTTTTCTCTCTTTTTCCTTCTGATCCTGTTTCTCCATTAACTGTAGCTTAAGCTTGCCACCACGCCCAAGGAAGCCACTAGGCGCCCCGCAAGCTGGCTGAGCCCAGGTGGCCCAAGGCCTCCACATCACCTGTCCTCTCACCTCCTCCCCCAGAAGGCCCCCCTGCAGGGCGCACAGTGGTGTGTCCCCTCATCTTCCGTCCTGTCGTTCCTGGTGTGGCCACCCGGCCAAGGGCCCTCACGGCCCCGCATTTCCTGTTCAGTAAGAACCGCTCGTTCCCCCCCTTGCACCCACTCTCCGCCCACCCGCCCCAAATGAGCATTGAGGGATGTCAGGGAGCTGCAGCCGAGACGTGTTCCTCTCGTGTCGTCACCCCCGAGCTCGCGCGGTGGAGGAGCCAGGCAGCACCACTGCTTCGTAACAGTCGTTTGACCCCAGAAAGCAGCACATCAGTTAAAGCCACGGCTGCTAAATTATTTTTCTCTGACAGCCTGCTAACCACGCCAACGGGATGATGGAGGGCTCGGAGCAGCGAGAGGGCTGAGGGCCATCCATCACGCCCGGGCACTGCCGCCCTGAGGCTCGTTACCGGGCCCTCGACCCGTCCCCGGGCTGGGTGGGGCCCAGTGGGTCAGGGGACCCAGGACCAGGCGCCACCAGCGGCTTCATTAAATTCGAATCCTGTCTGGCACACAGTCTGGATGCAGGGACTGATCTTTACAAAGCAATTCCAAGAGTCCCTGTAAAGGCTGCTCTGCTCTCCTGCTTGGCCCAACACTGTCTATGTAGCAGGCGCCTGGTCTGGCTGGTCCTGCTGGCACCGTGGTCCTGAGCTCCCGTTTCTTTTGCCATCCTGCCTAGCTGCACTCTTCGCACCTGCTCGGGGACATCATGCCCGGGCACCCTGTCCTAGCTGGGGTCCCAGAACCACCACCCACACTCCCTGAAGGCAGGTCCCCCCACCACTGACCATGGAGGACACTCCCCAAGGCCATCCAGGGGGAGGCAGACAGCCGACAATGGAGAGACGTAATTTCAGGAACTTGGGTACCGGCACCAATATTTAATGTCCTTTGCCCCAAGTCCCAGGTTCTCTCTACACAGGGGACAACAAGCCAAGCGTCTGGTTCTGACACCCATGTTGGTCACACGTGTACAGAAGCAAACATGTCTCTGCTTTACCCAAAGGCTCGGTCTCGTGTGAATGAAGCTTCAGAAGCAGCCCTCATGTTACCTCTGTAGGGAAGTAATGAAATTAAGTAATGCTGCCGCTTTAAGTAGTATCAAGAAAAAAACATTTCAGACGTGACAGTGCCTAGGGGCACCCACGAAATGCAGGGGGTGCTAGAAGGAGGGCCAGGGACCTGCCCCGCGATTCTCAGGCGGGTGGCTCAGACGACTGCACTGCCAGGTAACCTGCCCTTTGGAACCTCAGGGCTCCCGGCCTCGGCCTGGGGAGCAGGACCAGCAGAGCGGGCTGGACGCTTGCTCGTCATCAAGACAATCCTGACTGAGCATCACTCCCAACGCCCCTCAGGTAAAGAGGTTGGTGCCACTGTACTCGTCGTCCAATCACCGACTTTCATCATCCAGTCATCGAAAGAGAGCAGGCCTCCTCCCGGGTAACACCGCATCCTTCTCCAAGCAGCTTGTTTCCGCCTCGATTTTGGGCGGAAAATTCCGCCAGCGATTTCTAAAGAATGATGTTCTCCATAAAGATGAAGATCACAGGCTTGGTTTCTCCAGGATCTGGTTCTCACCATGTACTCTCTCAGAAGGAGGCTAGTTCTGCTCCTACAATTTCATGAGGTATGGCTTCAGGTCTCATAGGCAGAATGCTGAGGTCAAGGCTTTATTGGTTTTTTTAAACCGCAGTACAGACCTAACTGTGCAGGGTCTACACTGCTCACCCAGTGCTCCAGGAGGCAGCTGGGCCCAGCCCCTCAGACACTTTCTTCATCTACGGTGCTGTCTCCTCTGGCACAGAATTCCTCTCGGTTAACGAGATACTTGGGAGTAATAATAAGACCAAGTCAGATTACAAATGCCCATTTCCTGGAAGCATCATCTTAAAATAAAAGAAGAAAACCACACAATTTACATCTTTCTCCTTCTTCATTTCCCAGCCTCTGGCATGAGAAGAGTTTAATTCATAACAGCATTAAATTCACCCAGAAATGGCATATCTCTATGTTCCCTTCCCATGGAAACAGGTCATTGGGGGGAATAACATACATGTGATGGGAGTAAACAGAAAGTGAGGAAAAGGCAAGCTAACGCTACAAAGGGGGAGACATCATGAAGCATCACCCATTTCTTCTAGGAGGGGCAGAAACCGTGGGATTATATAACTAATGTAAAGGAAACCATTTATTTTTAATTTTCAATATTTCATAGTAAATTGGATCAGAACTCCGGCATGGGCCCCATTCCATGGAGTCCGCCCCCAGAATTAGCTGCAGAGATAGATGGAGGACTGGCTCTTGCTCCACGCGTGACAGCTGTGCTGCAGGCGCTCACAGGATGGTTGCAAAAATTCGGTTTCCTTCTCCCAAACACCAGGGTGCCCAGCTGCCTCTGGTCACTTGACAGACTGCCTTTCCAATCTCGTACTCCCGCTAATCTACTCGCTCAGTAGATGCAGCACCCTAGCCGCTGTAACAGGACTGGTCATTAATATTGCTGTAACAGACTAGCAGTAGAGGGTCCTCAAATTTTCAATAAGCTTCCATTAAAAGTGATTTGATGTGGAAGCCACACACACTGGGCTTCACACTGCCCACCGTGTGCCGAGGACACCCTGGAACAGCGGCCGATGCCACAGCGACATCCCCTGCTCTGCCAGACCTTCACCAGGTCCCTGTTCCCTCAGAAGCACTGATGGCAGGAACGACAGTGACAGTTACTTCACTGTCATTGCACATGGAAATTTCTTCTAAAATCCCTCCCTCATGAGGGTTTTGCAGGCTTTGTAGATGCTTAACAATACATTTATACAATATACTAGAGACCCGGTGCATGAAATTCATGCACAGGGGGTGGAGGGGGGGGGCGGTTCTTCAGCCCTGCCTGCACCCTCTAACAATCCGGGACCACTGGCTCCTAATCGCTTGCCTGCTTGCCTGCTTAATTGCCCCTAACCACTCTGCTTGCCTGCCTCATTGCCCCTAACCACTCTGCCTGCCTGATCACCCCAACTGCTCACCTGCCTACCTGACCGCCCCTAACTGCCTCTGCCTGCCTGCCTCATTGCCCCTCATATTACACTTTTATTATTTTAGATATGAAGTGTGATATAATAAATATTTATACAACACATTTACACAATGTATATACAGAATGCACATATAAATAAACACTTATACCACGATATACAATGCGCAATATACATTGATAGAATAGCCTCTACCATCTGACTTCCTACTGAAACAAGTTTGGTGCCCTTTTGGTAAGAGCTAAATAGGTATTTAAGTCTGTGTGTTCTCAATACTGTTTGGCATTTTCAAATGTAGTTAATATTTCTTAAGCAGAGTCT